CACGTGATTGGCGTAACGCGCCTGCGCAGCGCGTTTCTTGGGAGCCGCCCGGCCGCCCGCCGTGGTCCCGCCGTTACCGCCGTCTTCCGCGTCACAACGGCCGTCGTCATCTCATTGATTGTGATTATTGTCTCTCGGAGTTTCGTCCACACTACGGACACCACGTGCGCGCACACTTATGCCGCAGTTGTGCAGACGTCGTCGAATGCCGTAGACACCAAAACGTGGCGAAGAATGCGGTGCAGACGACACTCGCGCCTGCCACACGCCCGCCCCAATCCCGCCAGTCGTTGGGCCAAGGATCACGTGACATCTCGTACCACGTGATGGCCATGTACTTGGCGACCCGAGGCCAATGTTGCCGGGTGGAGCCGAAGTTTCGGTTTCGATTTCCGCTCGCGTTTAAAATCAGATTTAAAAATATATATCCCATTCTTCACGAAGTAAACGACGTAGTCTGTTTTACTAGGGCTTTTTAATTCGAAATCAATCATTATCCCGAAATCTTCGGAATTGAGCGGAGTTTCCCTTTAAAGAGATAGGGCGGTAATTTAATGGGGAATCTTTGGCACCCGGTTTGTAGATTGGAACGACCTTTCCTGCTTTCCAATCTTCCGGCACTGCCTGTAAGGAGAGGGACTGCGAGAAGAGCAAAGCCCAATATTGTGAAAATATGAGTAAAATTTAAAGAATATTATGTAATTAAAGCAAGTACACTCTTACAATGAAAATACTATTCGGTACATCAGAAATAAGTGATCCACATTATTTTGCGTTGAAGAGACAAAATGCGTGTGCGTTTAACCACAGGAATGCACAGGAGCACCGCAAAAGTAGACTGGTTACTGTTTGCCTCAATCTTCAATTTACATCCCGGAGGTTGCGTAGACACCATAGTCCGTTGCAACTCAAGAATGTAGGGCGAGGGAAAGAAAGCCCGGGGAGCAGGAAACAGACGAAACGCTAAAGAGAGGAGGAGGTTTTCCCTCCCTTCTCCAGCGTTCCATCTGCTTCCTCCTCCCCGGCCTTCCTTTCACTCGCCCTACCTTCTTGAGAATAGGGGGCCCCAAAGAAATGCGGAGAGGAAGTTGTCTGCTTCTTGCGCAGGAGTTGCGGTGACGTCAGAACGACGCCGAACTCTTATTGGCTGACTGAAGAAAATAGCGGGTGGACCTGAATAGTGGGTAGACCTACTTTTGTTCAATCGGGCAATAAGAGCTCGGCGTCGTTCTGACGTCACCTTAACTCCTGCGCACGAAGCAGACAACTTGGTCTGCGCATACGTGCCCACCCCTGCGCATGCGCCGAACCCAAACTGCATCTTGGGTTGGGGCTGGTGCGGTGCGCTTTCCGTTCGCTCCGGAGTAACTTCGTCATGGTTGCTACACTATTAGTATGGTGCCTGGAGCGCATCTCCAACTGGTCTGTTAAGCGTCCTATCCCGCCCATACATCAAAAGTGGTCCCAAAGTGGCCACAAATGATGTCGAAGAAGCCGGAGTGTCACGTTGTCGGATGTCGCCATCCTGGCGGTTGGTCGTAGAAATGCTGGCGAAAAGCACGAGCGAACGCGAGTGTCGCTGTCGTCACAACGTCCCAACTTCATGCTGCTGTAGCTTCTGTGGACTGTCGAAGTGAAGAGCGACCTGCAGCAGAAGAGGCGTCTGCCACATCCACCACAGCTGCTGAGACACCGCCAGGGTCGCGACCGACGACAGCATGACACTTGTACGACGTCATTAGGCGTTTGTCCCTCTCGTTCTAGCTGACCATTTACTTAAAGGGATACTTCAACGAAATTTGAAATATTCCCATCGTGTTCTAAAATAGGTTGAATATGATCCACAGCATCCGTAGATGACAATCGCATGTTTGTATTTTGATCCTGGAGGCTGTATTTTTCGTTATAAACGGCCCACTCTGGCAAGCGCTCGGAGAAGGCCCAGCTTAGAGCACGTGACATCCAACGCAATCGTGACGTAGGTCGTCTCAAGACGAGCAAAGCTACGGCGAGGCTGACATCGAGAGGATGGCCTAGTCGTTCCAGCCACCGAAGCGGCTGCTTTTGTACGAATTTTGAGTGACGGGTTAATCTTCTATAATCTTCTAGGGGGAAAATAGCGACTTCTGCGACACACAAAAGGGATTCTCGGGAAGAGGGGAGTTCCTCCTTCCCCCCTTCTCTCGTCGTGGCCGGAGACGAGAGAACCTCCGTCACTAGCTGTCAAGGTTCCTAGACAAGCATTACAAACGAGGCGTTAGCGACATCCACCAGGTGCTCTTTGCTACTCGTTTAATTCGTTTTAAAATTCTTTTTCGAGACTTTTTTAACAAGATATTGGTATGTTCCATGTGACACTGCTCTTTTGAACACATATAGACCAAAAAATGAGCGCCGAAATTTCGTTGTAGTATCCCTTTAAACCGAAGGATATCGAGGGTCCACTTTTTTGGACGCGGTAAACACACCAGTCGGAGACGCGTTCCAGGCACCATAGTATTATATTCTACGGTGGCAGCGCAGAGAAACAATGACACACCAGATACTCAGAGTATCTGGTGTGTGATTGTCTCTCTGCGCTACCGTAGAATATGGTTCGCCAACTCGCCCAAGCATCCATCCTACCATAGTATTAGCCACGTTCATTACCAGTGAATGGTGCAGACGGCTTTCGCTTTGCTTTATCTCGCTCATGTCACAAAGAACGAGCGGTGGGCTCGCCCCATTTGAAAGATCGTCTCTGATTCTGGCCGTTCCCAAGTCTAAAGAGACGCGGAAACCGTTGACATGGCAACGTATCGCTACTCCGAGGCTCTGAGTGGATTTCGCTCGTGGCACGATACCTGTAGCTTAAGAATAAGTCTTCCAAAGCTTCAAAGTCGCTCCAGCTTAGACATAAATAAAGCTACTGCTCGCAGAGTATGGTCGCCTGCGTTCGTCTCAGTTTCGGCTTAGTTGAAGGACACGGCGATACGCACACGAACGGCAAAAAATACGAGGACGAGCGCCAAATCTACGGATTGGATTGTGTACAATCCAGACGCAGCCGATGCTACAAGGCCGAAAATTTCGTTTTTTCCTGCGATTTCACATACTTATACGTTTTACGTTCTAAATTTTTTTTAGCATAGCTATGTTCCCAAGATGTCTAAGTAAAATGAGGACATTGTCCAAATTTTGAAAATTTCGAAAAATTTTAAAAGCTTGCTGTCAATTCATGTCTGCCAACTATGTGCTTTCTCCTTTCTAGTTTTGTCTCTCTCTCTCCCCCATTCTTTATACATTTTCCCAGAGGAGTGCAACTTCCTATACCGCCCATGGAACGCAAATTGAAAAACCCTGGGAGGCTGCAGCGCCATTTGAATCCCCTGGTATCTGGTGGCTGTACTAAAATCAACATGGCGGCACAGCGAAACCAAAACCGAAACTGCACGGCAGCGCCATTGTGTTTGGATGGACGGGCGGTAGCTTGCGCCACCTAGAGTTAAAAGTATATATATATATTGTAGCTTTTTTTTTTTTTTTGCCCGGTTTGCGCGTTGCTTTGCTAGGCTTCTGCTGCTTTGCGGCTGGTTTTCGCATTTCAATGCTGGTTAATGTGCGTTGAAACGCACACAAGCCAGCACTGAAAAGCGAGACCAGCAGCAAAGCAGCAGAAACCTAGCAAAGCAACGAAAGTGACACATACACAAGAAATATGCAATGCTTGTCCTTTTGCGTTCATTTTTATTCAACAGACAGTAGAAAATACAGACGAAATTTCTCACTGTTTTGCACACGAGAAACAAAGAAATGAACAACAAAAAAGGATAAAACGTTAAGGTTACGTGCGACGAAGGTGATGATATGCGTCCTTGCAAATTTGATTATATAAGCAAGCATATAAGTAAAGACCGACGACGGTGTCTTAATTGCAACTAAAGGAAACTAAGCAATGAGTACCAAGAAAAACAGCTCAGCTCTTTGGTATTGAGTCTTTATCGAGAACCTGCCCATTCGTTTTTAATATTATCACTTAAATTTAGGAGTGGGTCACTGCTAAACGAAACGGGAAACCAGAGCGGATCGCTCCATCGCTCATCCTCAGTTAATCGAAAAATATTTAGGCTCATATTTTCACTCCTCGCGAACAGACGCGTGAATCGCTGACAACAGAAACAGCTCACAGCAAAAAGTTTGCCATCTTTTAAAGTTAGCATATGTGCTCGATCTTGATATGAAAGAGTCTACCCAGAAGTCTCCAGTAATTTGACAATGACATATTTCTCACGGCGAGTAGAGCAATCCTGAACAATGATAGGATTTGGTTTTGTGATTGGAAACCATTGTACCTATTGCCAAAATCAAACAATACTCACTACCACTGCGACAGTTAGGTTTTGTTGCAAACATCTAATCAGAAACTTAAGCAAGAGAAGACCAAAAGAGCGTACCGCACGTCCATTAGAACTCGAAACCATTGATATCCCGGCTTTCGGCAGTCATTGTCTCCCCACTTGGCACATCAGTGGTGTGTTGATGACGAAAATCCATGCTTGACCACATTACACCAACAGCAAGTTCCTACGAAAAAGAAAAGATAGCCGCGCGCGCACGAACGCGGGACGAATCTCGCGCGGCGACGCACTCCCAGAAGCGAAGCAACTCACCGGCTCGCGTCCCTCGCGCGTTCTAACGGTCCATCGACTTCCCGGCGCCAGCGGCCAGCGCATCTCGAGGCGCGAGGCGCGGGTTCGGAGAGAGAGAAAGCGCGCCCAGACACGTTGAAAGTGTGAAAGAGAAAGTTACGATAACAAGCTTTAAACCCATTCACACCTTCAAAACAACTTCACCTTTATTTCGCTTCATTAAATATATGAATCATATTTATTTAAAATAAAATAACAAGTGCCAACAGCCGCTGGGAGCGCGGCAATCGGGAGCAGTTCGCCGGACCGGACAAACGTCATAAGTATACGCGGCGGGACGGAAGTAGCCGAGAGCTTCACCCCACTGATTTTCCCGCGTTCTCCCGCACCGGCTTCATTCCTTCGATTGTCGTCGTGTGATTCCTTTGGGCGAAGCGAAGCACCCTTCTAGACATGTCTGGCCGTGGCAAAGGAGGCAAGGCGAAGGCCAAGGGAAAGTCTCGTTCGTCCCGCGCCGGCCTGCAGTTCCCTGTCGGCCGAATCCACCGCCTGCTCCGTAAGGGCAACTACAGCGAGCGCGTCGGCGCCGGGGCCCCCGTCTACCTGGCGGCCGTTCTCGAGTACTTAGCCGCCGAGGTGCTCGAGTTGGCGGGCAACGCGGCCCGGGACAACAAGAAGACGCGCATCATCCCCCGGCACCTGCAGCTGGCCATTCGTAATGACGAGGAGCTGAACAAGCTGCTGTCCGGAGTCACCATCTCACAGGGAGGCGTCCTGCCCAACATCCAGGCCGTCCTCCTGCCAAAGAAGACCGGGCAGACCAGCACAGCCGGCAAGCCGGGCAAGAAAGGTGGTGCCAGCCAGGAGTTCTGAGCAGCCAGGCCATCTCAAGAAACACCCTCCTTCATTCCCTGCGCAAGCCTTCATCCCTTCCACATCAAGGCCCGTGTCCCTTTAGGCCTAGCGTCCCCTTCTTTCTCTTCCACCGCGGGTTTCCCGAAGTGGTCAGAAGACAACCGCATCCCGCCTGAAATGACTTTTTGTTCGCTTTCCTCCCTTCATGTCCACCGTTCCTCGCCCTCAGCCACCCCAAAGGTACATCAGTGATTGTAAATGAACACGGCTGCTGTTCGAATAAACGCTTTGGGATTGTGTAAATGTGCGCTCGAGTTTCCCGCTTTTTTCTTTGATACGTTTGCGCGCCCACCCTGTTGTGGTTGCGCGGTTACAGTCCACTCCTGAGTCGGAGCATCTGCGTCCGCGAGCGTATTTAGCTTTTACAATTCACTTTCAGCCTGTATACCACACAAGCTGAAATTTGCCGTAAGTGCCATAACTTAGTTTCGTGGGCGCGTAATTTTTTTATTTTGTATTTCCGCTGGTAACTGATGGCGTGATGGTTCAACAGGCCTTTCGGTGGTTTGGGCCGCTACAGTCCGTCTCGCTGCCGCGTTTATGTCAACTGATGAGTTGCCGCGGGCACGTTGGGACCAACATTCTTTGTTTATCTTTAGTCTGTTACAAGTTAGGAGCAAAGCTGGCAAAGCGGTAGGAATGATGCTCGCGAGACTTTCGAGGGACGTTGGAGAAGTCCAGTTATCAGCATGGGTTATGAATAATTGTAGATTTCAGAGATGTCTGAGCCTAGAAAAAAGGGAAATCCTTCCTTTATCGTAAGGAACAGGTGATATTACCAATATTACGTTTACAGGCAATATTATGAGTTTCGTTGTCTTAAGCATCCGGGCTAGATGGCGCAACCTACGGTCCTTACGCTAATGCTCTTCAGTCATCCGTCTATTGTCATTTGCAGCCGTTTGCAGCTAAAAAATAAGATGGCGGACCACGATGAGCTTCTTCAAGCCCACAGGAACGAGAGAAGAGAGCTGCAAGGTAAGCTTCTATTCGGCCCGTCCTCGCGAGCATCGGGGGAGCGAATTGGGAGACCGCCTCAGCGTGGCACTTGGGTGGCCTCTTCCTGCCCTATGCCTGTGACTCGAGGTGTGTTCAATAGCAGCGGGATGCGATCTCGGGGATGATTGATGCACAACGCTGTCGCCGGTGGCTGGGCCGCGGCCGTCAAGAAAAGCAAGTATGCGAGCGGGCTAAACTCTGGAGCGTCTGAAGGCAGAGCACAACATGACCACGCAACGTTTAAACTGTTGTTGTAGCTTCGTGCTACAAACAGGCAACTTTTTGGCCTTGTTTGGTGCTTTGTGCCTGTGTTTGTGTTGTACAGTGCTCCCCAAATTAAACGCCGCCACTGGGTTCCCAAACATTGAGCTGGTGTCGGCTACTTACTGTTAAATGTAAATGTGTCACCAAAACGTCCGGGATGCCTTCCCAGGATGGGATAGAAATCGGGAACCCAAACATTCGGCCGCTGCAGGGACTGTCAGAAACGGCAAATGCCGTGGCGGCGTTAAGTTTGAGGTGCATTGTATATAACTCCCTGTGCTCGAAGAAACGAGGAGGACTTTCAGATAGTGGTTCAACAGTTCAATAACGCGTAAAGCAAAAAAAAAAAAAAAAAGAGAAAAAAGTCTAAAGTGTTTTTGTTTGCAGCACTGACTATATTCCAGGACGGACGTTGCTTTGCTTTCAGTGTGGCTCCTTTGACGGAGTGAGTTCCGCCTTGTTACCGTCATTGGGCGCCGGAATGGGACTGTAAACGGGCAGGCTGCCTATCGCACCTTTAGCTCACGGGTTAACGTGCCCACATGTTCCGGCTGCACTTTTGGTTTTCTGTCAACCATCGGTGTGACCCCAGCCGCCCACACTTCACATGGTTGTTCTTCCGTTGCTTTGTTTGCTCCGCTCGTGTGTGTATGTAACATTTTACGTATTCTTGATCTAGTAGTTGTATATGTGCAGCTCACCAGAGGATGCTTAAACAGGAAGGAGCCAGCATGACGTCGCTTACGGTGGGCCAGGAAGAGCTCTGGATCTTTCCTCTTGCTCCTTTGTTCACGCTGTGACTCGCCCTCCACTCCCATTTTTGTTGCTTCCATGCCACTTGCCGCTACTGCCGCGGAACAAGTGCCATTGACCCGTCGGATCATAGTATCGCAAGATCTGCCGATTTCTCCTTTCGACCAATGCCATCCTTTTCTCTCAAGAGAGGCTGCTTCCAGCAGACTCTGCTGTTGGTAGGGGATGGACATATTCCCTCTTCTAATCTGACCTTTGTGGGATCAAGTCCAGCCTGCGTTTGCGATGGTGTCGACATGACTGTCTGCTAAGAGTGACTCGACGATGTGTATGTGGTTATTTCTCAATTATATCTGCAGTTAGGGGGAGTATTTACTGGTGGCCATAGCTGTGTCCAGAACTGCTGAGCGCGTTCTGATGGCGAGCTTCCACAGTTCTTTGCAACATGGATTCCACACTATCAAGATTGCCAGTCTTAAGCAGCCTATTAATGTGAGCTTGTTCTGAGCATGCATTCTAAACAGCACACTCCACTATCGCATCTAATGAATAGTGACAACTGCCCTATAGTGACAACTGCCACAATCTTTTGTAAATGTGGGGAGTCACTTAACACTGATGCAGCAGTGGCTCAGACTAGTACTCTCAAGTCATTTCGCCAGCAGAAGGGTAAAGAGAGCCGAGTTAGTATGACTGCAAGCTGAATGATGCAACGGGCCTGCGGTGAAAGCCTTAGTTACGTGGGAAGACTCACTTTTGAAGCCAAGATCTATACAGCAAGCCCCCGAATCTTTTGGAATTGTTAATACTGAGCAGATATGCAAGAGTGGACCTGTTTGAGCCGATAAGCATGCTTGCCATCCACACCTGTTTCAGAAAGTCCTAGCCTTTTGATTAGCAACCATCCTGACGTCTTTCGGAGAGCCACTCGGTTGGCGGACATGGAGTGTTTCGTCGTGCAATTAGCAGTGACCGCTGCTATCATGATCTTTTAGGGGCATCTCCTTAATGATAGCACAAATCTTTGTGCTGTAGTATGGCTCATGGATGTCCGTGCAAATGTCTTTGACCTAGTGCAGTAGCGAACACTAAAAGCGCCGAATAGCCAGCAGTGGCCACCAGCCGGCGTCTGATTACATGCACGGGGGGTCATTGTGCCAAGGCAGTCCCTTTATTGTGTTAGTTTTACGCCATAGGGAGAAATGACCTGCTGCATCGCAGAATATTGCTCTGTACCCTCAACATATGCTTGGGGATGGTGCAGATGACTGTGCATTGCCATTAAACCAAGTGTCAGTTAGGTTTCACTATTGTGAGCGAGACATGGTGACAGCCCAATTTAATTTTGTTCCAGCATAACACAAGCACCCTGCCAGCAAGAAGACAGCATTTTTGGTTCACAAACTTGCCTGTGCTCTATAAGGTGTAGCTCATATGTAAAAAGAATTCATGAACTTGAATTTCAAGATACGGCTGCATTTGAAGAAGGGCTCGTTCGGTGGCACGACGTCCTATCGCCCATCCGGGTGAGAGAATGCGGAATAGGAGAGTCCGAAGAGGGTGAGCGTTGCCCGGCAGCGCAGTGGTCTGACGAATGGTGCGGCCGCCATCGCACCGCGAGACGAGGCTCGCCCTGCTAAGAAGGCACCCCGGGAAAGGAGAGGGGGAGAGGAGCTCACCCAGGTGGCAGCAAATGGGGTCGGGCCCAATCAATGCCTCCTCCATAACCAGGCCGTAGTGCCAGATTTTCTACACTGGCCGCCGGAGACCAGCGTGGGAAACAGACTGGACACGGGCACTGCGTTGGCATTCAGACTCGCCTTCGGTCGGTGGATGCAAGTCCCGGCCAAATGCCGACGTAGCACTTGCATCCAATTCGTTTCCCCCACGCTGTCTTCCGGTAGGCGACGTGACAAGATCTGACGCTAAGGCCTTGTCATCGGGGAGGCGCCGGGGCAGGCCCAATGCGAGCACTCCCCGGTAAAGTCCTGACGCTCTCCCCCTCTCCCCCCGCAGGCCGAGCCGCCCCCCAACGGCCAACAACCGCCCAGTTCGAGGCGTGCTTCCGGCGCCTGCAGTCGGTGCCCTTCCCAGCCAACAACATTGCGTCGCTGCACCTGCACGAGTTCCTGGCCGGCTGCGCGGGTCGCCATGGCCTGGCCGAGGACGCCCTGCTCCTGAGCCTTGCCACGTGCGCCGCACACCTGATGGCGCTTTCAGACTCGGCGCTGCACCTGTCAGCTGCCTGGCGTGAGCGCCCTGTGCTCTGGTCGGCTGTGCTCGTGCCGCGCGCCCACACCTGCCGCAACTTTGCCTGGACCCTCCAGGGGCTTCTCTGCCGTCTGCACGGCGAACTCTCGGCCCCCGGGCCACCTCCGCTCGTCGTAGATGCCCTCGCGTCGCACGAGTTCCCCCGCCTTATCAAGCGTGGCGGCCCCGTGGCCGGGATGCACACATCGCTGGAACCGGTACGGACACTGTACTCCGCCGTCGGAAGCTCCGTCTTCTCGCAGGTGGCGCTCGGCGTCCCCGTGCTATCACCACCTCCAGCAGACGGGAAGAGCCAGAGCGTGGCGGACATTCGATACAACGTCTGTTGCGTCGCCGAGCCTGCGAGCTTCCATGCGGCAGTCTCGCCGAAGCTCGGAGACGGTGGCTCGTTCGAGGAGTGCCTGTGGCCCGTCCTACTGCTCTGTTGTTGCCGCGAGAGGACGGTCGACCTCTCGACGCTCGACGACGCAGCCGACGACAAGCTTGAGCAGCTCCTCCGCACCATCGCGAACGCCCACCGCCGTCCGGTGACTTACCGACTGTCCGCAGATGCGAGATCGGTGCTGCCGCAGATCTTGGCCAAGTTCAAGAGGCTGTCGTCGACGTGGAACTGCAAGATCGCGCTCTTCCGTGCTGCCTCGAGCCAGGTCCTCCGACTGGCCGTGGCGCTGTTTGTCCTGGACGGATGCCTCAGCTACGCGGTGCGGTCGGAGACAAGGGAGTACGAGATCCCGGCGGCGCACCTCTGGGAAGCCCACGACGTCGTGATGCACTCGCTCCGGCTGAAGGCGGAGCTTCTGGAGCGACCTCTCCGCGACGATGTCTTTGGCAGCTGCGTGAGGAGCATCGCAGGGCACGGCGGAGCACAGCACATGTCCATCTCGGCGGACGGCACCAATGGCGTCGACCTGGGCGTGGCGCAGGTATTGCGGCTGCCGCAACACGAGATGGACTACGACCGTGCGCCGGTGCAGCTTCCCCGCGAGATCTCGGTGTCGCTCGTGCGATCGCCGGCGCGTGACAGTCGCGATAATGACGGGCACGACAGCTTGCCTGCAGACAGTCTGGTCGCATTAAGCAGCATCGTGCCCGAGTCGGAAGAGGAGTTTGTGGACAAGTTCCGCTACAAGATCAGGCGCCTGCTAATCAGTGGCAAGGCACTGCTAACACCGACGCTGGTGGCACAGATGAAGTATGTGTCGGTGCCAGACGCCACAGGCAAGCCGCGCTATCCAACCCAAGCAGCAGCCCTCTTCCTAGAGCGCGTGGCGGCGCTGGGCTTTGGCACCATGCTGACGCGGCACGACAGCCACTCCAAGAAGCTGCTCTTCCGGAAGACGGAGCATCCACAGCTGGGGCCCAGGCAACTCCAGCTGCTCCAGGGGCTTCGGGTCACGCGGGAGCAGTACACCCAGGGATGCCAGCGGCACCAGGCCATCCCCCACTGGGAGACGGGTGCAGGATTGCGTGTCCACCTGGCACCTGTGGTCCCCGTGGCACCTGCTGCACCCACCCCAACTGTCAAGCAGCAGGTGGCGGGGAGCTCTGAGTGACGAAGATCGAAGCTTCTAAGGTCCACCCGGCACCTGCAGTCTCTGGGGCACTTGCCTCGAGCAGGAGGTGTCAAGCCTCAGGTGACTCACCGATGCATGTTCCTGTGGGACGAAGATAAAAGCTTCGAAGAGGTTACAAGAGGCTAACCAGAGGAGCTTGGTCCTGTTACGGTATGGATAGAAGGACTCCACAGCCTGTTGGGTCCCTTTGTGGTTATGGCCCTTAGGACGGAAATCAAAGCTTCCAAGAAGTCTCAGCTTGCTAACCGGAAGGGCCCAGTCTAATGCGGTACAAGTATAAGGATACTTTGTCCTGCAAGGTCCCGTGTGGTCTTTCAGGTCGTGGCTCCTCAAGGGTGTGGTCTTTGAGGTCCTGATGCCTCGAGGATGTGACCCCCGGTGGTCCATCCATGTTTTCCATCAAGAGTCGCCTGCTGCCTCTGCTCGGCATCGATGATGTCGATTGAAATGCGTTTTGGGTGGTCCACAAATAGTGCCTCCAGGTCACACAGAAGGCCATCAACCTTTACAGACATTTTCAACGGGTCGGCACTCCTCTACTCAAAGTGCTGTCCAAGTTCCTATGCCCGAATACTCTGCGAGTGGCTTTGGCGCTCTTTGAACCTCTGCTGTGGTCCAACGAGCACGTGAGCCTTTTCACGTGGAGCGAGATCAAAGAGCGCGATGTTGTGCCGTTTTCGGGCGTTTATCGTCGTCGTCTTTTCTTTACGCTCCAGTCGTATGATGCTCTTTTGAATACATACCTTTGTCGGGCTTTTAGACAAACTGCTTAATTGGCTTTTCTAAAGTAGAATTGTAGCAGTAAAAGCTAGTTTTGTGCTTTCAAGGTAGAGAGCAATATTTTAGAGCTGAATGTAGGAACAAACCTATAGCCATTTTCAGCCATCTCTGGTATCGTTTTGGAGATTCGAGGCATTTCTTTCGGAGTTACCTGCACGAAATAAAAGGGCAGGGTATTTTAACCTTTTACTTGATGACATTGAGACATTTTCAACCCCAAATATTTGTCTCTTCACTGCAGCTTGCTGCAGTTTGGGCACAGCTCTTTAAAGACTCCTGTGTGCACTCTGTCCAATAGTCCAACAACTTGTTGGTTTCCTTTAGCAAGGCCGGTCCTTGGGGATGCGCCACATTACAAGATTGTGTCCGATTCTGTTTGTTTTGTTTTTTTGTGAAAATATTGTTTAATATTCGGTTTGGTGGTGTATTAATCAAGCCAGCTGTTGCAGTACCATTAGCTATGTATGTTTGCATGTACGTTGATTTTAATGCTTTGCCCTATTTATGAGCATTTTTCACGCATCTAGCAAAGGCCGCGTGGCGGAAGGGCACTTGGCAGCCAAAGCAATTGTCTCATCACGTGCATGTTCCATGGCAAGAGTTACAATTTGTGAGGTCAGTGCTGAAGTGTGAGCATCTGGCGCTCTTGTGTTTCCCGGTGGTATGATCACGCTCGCTGCCATCTGGTACGAGGTGGTCTAGAGATGAGCCTGAAAGCTGAACCTCTAAAAAAAGAATTTTCTCTAAGTGCCCGGATAAGGCAACTATGTCACAAAATAAACGTTCACAAAAAAAAAAAAAAAAAAATGTTTCAGTACGATATCTACGTTGTGAGATTAATTTAGCTGAGTGGTTCCGAAACACGCTTCTACTTCTGGGTCAATGTCTCAAAGCAGAAGCAGGTTTCAGAGTTGCTCCGAACTCAGAACACGTCTTGCGTCATACCGTATTTTCCGGACTAGAGCCCGTGCTCGAAGCAGGCCGCCTCGGTGGCTCCGAGGCGAGAGCGCCGGCCTACGGATCCCCAGGTGGCGGGTTCGAATCCCGACCGAGGTGCCCGCAATATGACGGAGGCTTATTGTGGAGAAGGCGCTGTGTAACCGAGCTTTCGGTTGCACGTCAAAAGATTCCCAGGTGGTTGAAATTAATCCTCAGTCCTCCGCTGGCACGTGCCAGATGCCCGTTGTAGGTTTGGCACGTAAAACCCCCAAATTTGACTTTTGACTTTTGTGCTCAAAGCAAACCAAAGAGAAGCACATTTTATTTGAAAAAAAAAAAAAGTCGGGAGAAGCAAATTTTAGTTGAAAAAAGGTTTTTCCTTTGATAATTTGCACCTGTTGCATAGTCCGTACCTTGTGCCTAGCCTGCACGTAAGAAATGTTCAAACGTCATGCCTTGACAAACGCCTGCTTTATTAAGAAGCCTGTATCATACATAACCGTTACTAACATACTCTAGCATTTACAAAATCTGCCACATCTCATCACAGTGAATGATCGTGGAAAAGCCAAACCTTGTATAGTCTGCACCGCATAAAATTTCAACTTTTAGACATTTGCCATTTTCCAAAAAAATTTAAATGTTCCGCAAAAACAAATATTTTTGAAGGGAAGTAAATTTTTGTGCCATGTCCTTTCCAGGCACTAAAAAAATATTTTTAAGGGTTCAGGGCTCCTTTAAGAGACATCAAATGAAGTTTTTACACATCCGTTCAATGCCGGAATGCGTGAGGTCATTTGTTTGAATGTCGCCTAGAGGATTCCCGACGTTTGCCCTGGAATTTGTGAAGCTGGGCTTTCAGCATTATCAATAAAGTAAGCAGGATGTTGTGGTTCTTTGCCAGACAGCAGCGGGGTAGTGGCACACTCAACGCTTTGCCGTGTGGCAAATTGACGAAAAAGTACTATACTCCGTTCCACCTTCAGTCTGAGCGCAGTGGACGCCACAGGCCATCCCAGCCGATCCAGCGCCGGGAGAAAATCGCGTGACCTGCCGGTTGGGAAGAGGGACACAGGGAGCTCAAGGTCACATGACACTCTCCCCACGCTGGATTGGCTGGGATTACTCCTAGCGTCCGCTGCGCTCGGACTGAAGGTGAAACGGAGTATAGGAAGGGGAATAAGTACGGAAATTACATACCTGAGATTTTTTAATTTTTTTATTTATTTATTTATACTGTTAACCCGTAGGGGCTGTTACAGGAGTGTAACAGATAGACAAAATAGAACACTAAGTAGTACATATGAAGGCACATTTTTGAACACTAAAAACTCACGAAAGACAAGAGTACACTATTTTGGTAAATCACACTGAATACACAACAAAAACATTTTTACGTATAATATCTTCTCAGTGCTAAAACTTACAAGAGCGTACGCTGCTGAGCGCGCAAAAACAACATCGAACAAAGGCTGATAAAAAAAACAACAACAAGAACACATGAGCAGATAATAAATGGAGTCACGGAAGTCCCAATCCATTTAAGTATCAAAAACATAGAATCTAAATTATCCAGTGCCAGAGGGAAAGGTTCGTTAGTATTGATTATACAATTTAGAAATGCATGTTTCAAAAGAAGCTAGGGTATCACTTAATACTATTTCTTTGGGGAGGTTATTCCACTCTGATATAGTTCTTGGAAAGAAAGAATACTTATAGGTATCATTATTTGGTTTCTCTAAATTTATTTGACATGGATGAGTACTTCTTAGATGCCTAGATACACGGGGCGTTATATAGTTACTTGTATTAAGGTTAAACATTTGATTTCTCAACAGGAATAGGAATTTTAAACGAGCTATTTTCCGGCGATCAGAAAGGAGGGGAAGACTTAACTGTTTAAGCATTTCATTTACTGATTCAGTTCTTCGATACTTCGACACTACAAACCTAGCATACATTCTTTGCACCCTTTCTAATTTGCTTATTTGGTAACTTCTAAAAGTAACTTCTAAAAGATACTACCGTAGTTGTCTTCAAGATGACATTGAACGGCTATATGAAAGGTTTGCATTGGCAGCCAGAGTCCAGTGACGTATGTTTCAAGATGCAGAGCGAGTGATGTAGAGGATGACTTATATGAAGCTATACCAAAATGTTTTTCGGTCTCGTCGTATCTCACTTTTGTTTTTTGCCGAGTAAAAACTCTTAAGCCAATGTTGAATTGGGGAGCAAGGATGCTAGGTCGCTGACAAAGCTGAGGTGCACTGAATGTGATGAGACGTATAGTAGGATAACCCAAATTGGTGTATAATAATTCATTCTAATTTTCTAAGTTTAGTGGGGAAGTTATCTGTTGCACTTTTGCAATACACTTTTTTCAGTGCAGTTTTGTTTGCAAAACCCTAGCCTTAAACACATTTCATGTAGCATGCTGTTCGTTCAGAAGAGGTGGCACAGAAAAGTGAAGTGATTGTCGTGATATACAATTACTATAATATGCAGTCGTGTGTACGCTTAGAAGTACTTTTTTTATGAAAGTACCGCAATGTTTGTTACATTCACATGTTCGGCAGAAACATGCCCGACAAATCAATTCCGGAGTGTATAAATTGTGAACTTGTACTTCATTCTGCCTCGAGCTTCATGTATAAATGATGGCGGGGGTCTCGCTATGTAAAGAACAACCAAATCTCGTTTGTCGTTCCTGCAAATGAACATGCTGCAATCAATTTTGATTTTTTTTTTTCTTTTTTTGTGTGGTCACTTGTGTTTTATGTTATCATTGTGCAGAAAGCACTGCATGGGTTGGAAAGACAACATTATTTTCTTTTTGACAAGCACCAGAGGTGCCGTTGTGAAAGGGTGTTGTGTATAGTAGGACGGTTTCACTAGAGTCACTCTCCAAGGCAATCTGACACTTTTTCCCGTGACAACTTACCACGGTCGTTCAGAAAGGATCCTATGCCTTATGGGAACCGTCCAGGCTGTCTCGGTTTCCATGGCAACGGGCGCCACCGAGGATTGCTCGTTGAGATTTGGGCGTCGTCTGCTCTCCAGCGATGCCTCTAGGAGAGCCCCTTTCGGCTCGCAATGCTTGCAGCAAAGTTTATCGCCAAATTGCTTCCCCACCGAAGTTCGACACTCCAGGCCTCTGTTGACATTATCACATCATGTGCCAACTACTACAATTGTGCTCAAACAAACTAGGCAATCAGAGTTGTAGAATAGCTGCTAGGGTCTGCAAGTTGCCGTGGTAATTTTTGAGGTAGAAATGGAGTCAGTCATTGTTATTTCTGACGTCCTGCTTCTAGCATCTTTGCCCAGTATCATTACTCTGGCAGCTGGGACTTCCATGGGTGGTGGCCGTAGCATGTGCGGTAGGCAATGTGAGTGAAGGCAGAAGACATTTTTGTTTTGGTGTGTAACCCACCAGTGCTTGAAAAAGACCCACACTCTTTCAAATAAATAAATAAACCAGTTTGCAGGAAACGAAAATGCAATGAGCACAAAGCTCCAAATATTCACACCCTGGGTGTATTTTGTTGCAGTTAGAATACTGGTAAAATTTTTGCCCGTGGATTTTCTAAAGATCTTGTAATACAAGAGGCATACTATAGCATAGTTCAGATGTTATAAATGATTTTCTGAAAATGTCAATGGGAAAATGGTGGCTAATGGAGCTCTCGAATACATGGTGCCCTATGGCACCAGAAACTGAAAACGGGCGAAAATGGGCCCCATTTTGCCATTGAAATATTTAAAAAAATCTCACAACTTCTGAATAAAATATATTGGTTTGTGCTGAAACTTTGGCATCTGGTTGGGACCTCTAACGCTACCTTTGGGCGGAGAATGAGCGTTCGGCCACGCATAGCTTAGTTTTCTGGTGAAAAAAAACCCTGTACATTTTTTTATGGAACACCCTTATGTCTTTTTAGAGTGCAGCTCCTAGGCGCCCATTTCCGGCTTGAGCGGCGTCACCATTGGCGTAATTGTGAGGTGATGTGACCCCCGTGAGGTTACGTGACCCCGGTGACGTCAATTGACCCTCGGGAGGTTACGTGAACTCACAGTTACGCCGACTGCGACACCGCTCGGAGGGAGGAGGGGCATACCTTCCCTTTTCCTCAAGAGCTGCACTCTAATTCGGCGTTACAAGAGTTGTAATTGGCTTTCATTTTAGAGCGCAGCTCTTAGGGCTCATTCACACTGGAAGCGGATCCGCGTTCGCAAAGCGGTTGCGAACGCGGTTGTATAAGGATTCAGTACAATTGCACGCGCATTTGATGTCATCGAGTGCGCGTGCAATTGCACTGGATCTTTATACAACCGCGTTCGCAACCGCTTCGCGAACGCGGATCCGCTTCCAGTGTGAATGGGGGGTTAGGGGCCCGTTCCCGGCTTGAGCGGCGTCGGCGTAACCAAGGTCACCCCAAGGCCACGCGACCCCCAAGGTCATCCCAAGGTCACGTGACCCCTTCCCAGAGGTCACGTGACCCCCCTGAGGTCACGTGACCCCCCGAAGTCACGTGACCCCCCCCCCCCCCCCCCCCCCCCGAGGTCACGTGACTACCCCCCAGGGTCACGTGACCCCCGCGAGGTCACGTGACCTCCCAGATGACGTCACCGGCATCGTCATCGTCATCATCGCTGATGACGTCATCAGTGACATCACTTATGACCTCACCGGCATCCGCATCGTCATCGTCACTGATGACGTCGACGGCATCCGCATCGTCATTGTCATCATCACGGATGACGTCATCAGTGACATCACTGATGACGTCACCGACATCCGCATCGTCATCGTCATCATCACTGATGACGTCATCGGAATCCGCATCGTCATCGTCACTGATGACGTCATCAGTGACGTCACTAATGACATCATCGGCATCGTCACGTGACCCCTCAAGGTCACGTGACCCCCCCAGGTCACTTCACCCCCCCCCCCCCCCAGTACCCTTCCCTCCTCCTCCTCAAGAGCTGCGCTCTAATTCGGCGTTACAGGGAGTTGTAAACGGCTTTCACTTTTTTTTTAATAAAAAAAGAAGAAAATTCATCTTGGGGGTAAGTATGCTGCACATTCAAAGATTCATAAATTTTTATGCCTTGTTTAAACAGTTGCATTGGCTGCATCCAAGGCTGGCTCACACATTTGCAACAGGTTAACCAAAACGACAGCAACGACTGGGACACCGACAACCTCAAATCATGATTTCTTCATGAAGCTACTGCTTGCGTTGCTTGCCACATTTTGTGCAGCGAACAGTTACCCTGGTGATTTTGCTGTTGCTGTCTGTTTGGTTAAAGCCCCTTGTTGTGTGTGGCCCTTGGAAGCAAATGATGGCACGGCTCTGAAGTAAGCGGCCTTAGGAGGCGAATGGTGGCAGGGCACCTGCTCGTGGCACGTGTCTTGCACGTTCGCAGGACAATGGTTGGCAGTACTTGCAAGAAGCTCGATGCGTTAATGTTATTAAGGGGCTTCGTTTTGGTTGCTCTGTGACGACCCTTGTGAGGTGCACAAACAGTTATTTGGACTCGTTGAAGTAGCAACTAGTGCAACTGTGTCTTGAAAACTAAGTTACTCGGTTCTTGGAACAATTAGTCTTGTCAATAGAGAACAGTTCTTTTGGAAGGTATGTAGGAAAGAGTGCATTGATAAAGGCTATAAACCGGGTTATCATTTCTTTCATCATGGTATGTTTTTCCTTGTGAACCAGGGCTCTTGGTGAGATAGATACGTGGGTAGGGTTCTGTGTTTTTGGATAAATAAAAAAAAACTCCATAAAACTCTTGCCGGTCTAATTTTCCCAAAACTCAGTTTTGAGGTCATGATGGCAAAACAAAAAGCAAAAAAAGATGGTATTATACAAATAAATTTTATAAGAGCACAGAGTCAGTGGGCCCGAGGAAAGGCCACTCCATTTTCCTTCAACTCGACAAGTTACAAACAGG